TCAACATCCTCTCTTTTCTAGGATAAAGTGAGGAATGTGAACTCTGAGGTTGGATGTGAAAAAAGTGAGGAATGCTTCAAAGCTGAAAAAAGTGTCTACGGTTTGGCATAGGATTGTGAAGAACTGGGCTAGTGTGAATGTGAATAAGTGGATGAACAATGACAATTTGCGCTGGATTGTGGGCGATGGTAAAATGGTGTTATTTTGGTTAGATATTTGGTGTGGAGATAAGCCGTTAAACTCTGAGTTTCCTAGATTGTTTCGCCTGACAGCGTGTAAAAGGATTTCTGTGACTGAATTGGCAGTCAATGGGGAGCTTTGTTTGATTCACTGGGAGCGGATCTTTACTAAGAATCTGCTGGATAGAGAAAAGGCAATGTTGGACGTCCTAAAAGAGCGAACTCATGACGTGGTTTTGAAGCGTGATGTCCCGGACAGGTTAGTATGGTCAACTGATAAAGCAGGAGTTTTTTCGGTGAAGAAGTTATGTCAACTCATGGTGGATTCAGATGTGGTGGATTCGGAGTTCGATTTTGGAAAATTTTGGAAGATGAAAGTGCCTCCCAAAGTTTAAAATTTTCTGTGGATGTTGAAACTCGGCATGATTCCAACAAAATCTTTTCTTAAGCGGTTGAGCAGGTGGGAGAAGATTGTTCCTGCTGTTGGTGTGGTTCGGGTGTTGAAGACTTTGATCATCCCTTTGTGGCATGTAAATTTTTGAGGTGCTTCTGACGAGCGTTTGGTCATTGGTGGGGGATTAATTGGCCAGACGTGAGTGATGTCTCTAATTTTTTGAGTTGTTGCATTGCTTTTAAATTTGAGAGCAAATTAAATAGCATTTTGTTAGTTTCAGTAGCTGCTGCAATTTGGAGTCTCTGGTTGGTTCGGAATGACATGGTTTTTAACAAGAAATCGTTTAACATGAGAGAGTTCGTGTTCTATTCTAAACTTAGAGCTTTTATTTGGTTAAAAACAAGAAGTAATCAGTTTGAGATTAATTTAAATGAATGGTGGGACAATCCGAGTTCTTGTCTCAAAGATATTTTCCATCCTTTTTCGATTGGTCTCCGCGGGACGATAAGGTTGTTATTTTAGTGTTGAAGGTTGTGTTAGCAATGACCGGGCAGGTTGTGGTGGGGTTCTCCATGCTGGTAATGGTTCAATTAGAGCAGTTTTCGCAAATAATGTTCAGGTTGCTACTCTAGACCATGTAAAGTTGGGTGTTGTCCTGTCAGCATTGAAGGTTTTTGTGGAAGCGGGACTTGTGGGAGTGGAAAAGTTGGTTTGAAGACTTATTCTAAGTTGGTGCTAAATTGGATCGAGAATCCGCTTCATCGCCCGTAAAAGTTATGGCCAGCTTGTTTGGAGATTGATTCGTTGTCGAAGCGCGTTGGGAAAATCAAGTTCTCTCTCAATGAGAGAAGCTTTAGTCGGATGGCTGCTTGGCTAGCAGTGGACGGGATGTCGAGATCAAGTTTGTTCAAAGCCTGGTGGTAGTTGTAGTTTTCTCACTGTGGGCTGCGAAATTGCATCTTTTGTTCAGTCTTTTGTCGTTGGTTCTTCTCTTTGTTTTGTGATCAGCTAAAGCTGCTAAGGAGATTGAAGATTTTCGAAGTATCCGTATTCCTGCTGAGTGTTGGTGGACGAACCATATAGGCATTCTTATGCTTTTCTTGCACTGTGCGAGTGTGCTCATTATGTGTGGCCCGAGTCTTGGGTGAATTCCTTAAGAGTATTAAAGAAGCTATGGTGTGAGTTGTTTTGTTAAAATTGTGCAAGGGGCTGTCTGTAGGTCTGGTATGTTGTCTGTTTCCGTTTTGGGTGGTGTTTGTCGGCTGTCGTATCTGTTTATGCTTTTGGTTCGAATGTTTTGTCTCTTGGTTGTGTTTAGTTCCCTATTTAATGGCATTATTTTCTTTCACTTAGGCTTTGGGAGGTTTTTAACGAAGTTCTTATTTAGGTTTTTTTAATAAAATTAATTTTATCGAGCAGAAAAAAAAAACATCCTCTTCTTTTCCTTAGGAAATGCTTGCAACTCCTGCCCTTCCACCAACCTGAACCCGACCCCAACCCCACTCCATCTGCACTAGGCAGATGCCCCATAGATGCCTTTAAGTTAGGTGTGTGCGCGAATGTGCTTAACTTGGTCTATGTCACTGTCGGTTCACCCCGGTGCAGCCATGTTGTGCCCTTCTCCAAGGCCTCGTCGACTTCGAATCCGCCGGCTGCCTTTGCACCAATATTAGAGCTAACATCCTAGGCATCAACCTTAATATCCCAAATCTCCCTTAGCTTGCTTCTCAACGTTTGCTCAAGGAATGTTCCTACTGGCTTCCAATGCTAGATCCCGACTCTTTCAAGTGTCATGATCTCTAAGGGACATGAAAAGACATGTATTTGTCAGTACTTGTATCATTTCCATACTTGTTTGCTTTACATTTGTGTTTGTATTATTCTCTAAACTTGTATCAGGGCTGTTTTATTTTGCTGCTTGTGTGTTCGTGTATGTTTTCCCTTGTGCATGTACTATTTTTCCTCAATTAGGTTAGGAGAGTTTTTAATGAGACATGCATTCAAGTTGGTCTTGGGACCTTTTTTAATAAAATATTTTGCCGATATAAAATATTTTTCACTCTAAACATGAATTTGATCAAATCTGAATTTAAATTTTAAATTCAACGTTTTCTTCTTTGATTTTATTTAGCCGGTGGTAATATCGATTTTAATACTGATTGTCGACCATCGGTTATCTTTTCTCTTTGTTTCCTTTTTAATTTTTAATAAGAATAATTCTTTCTTTGTGTCGCGTTTATCTATACTTTTGTGGCACGTTTTTCTATGTCTTTTGGTAGTTTTCGGTGCCGTTTTTTTCGTTTATCTTTTTTTTCTCATGATTGGATTTGACATCGTCACGACTGATCAAGATAACGCTTATTTGTTACCATGATGATCTTCCCTACTTTAGATGCTCGGAGTGGTTTAGATACACAATTTGCATTCGTGAATAGTTTTCTCATGTCGCTCGACTTCAAATTTACGATTTGTTTGTGGTTTTCAGTAGCTTCATCCATTTTGTGGTTTATTTGTTGATACAGTCAAATTTATTCGTATCTTTATTTTGTTCGAACATTTTAATTAGGTTTTTTTTAACTTTTTTCTTCTTCGATCCTTATATGATCCAATTGGCTAGTTTTTTGTCAATGAATATATGAAATATCCTAATTATATTTTCATTTATGTTTACGATTATGCTCGTAACTTTTCATTGTAATTTTAGATTTTTTTATTTCTAATAAAACTAATTGCTTTCTAAAAAAATAAAATAAAATTGTATTTAAATTCGATCCCGTAAGAATCGAATAAACGATAGGGTAGGTGTAAAAACTTCTAGCAAAAGGAAGTTTTTATTTATTATATATTTATATTTATTTAAAACATTGTGTGTATGGTCCATTAGGACGGTATTTTTTAGTGGACCAAAGGGTGATGACTTATTTTATATCATATAGTCTTCCATTTTTGGTGCTTTGTACAATTTCCCTGAATGCACGGCAACTTGTTTGATTCACAGAAAATCAACACACCACTGAAGAAACGATATCGCTCAATTGATTATATATATATATATATACGGTAACAATTCTATAAATATTTTTCATGATGAACACACATGTTAATAACATAAAAATTTTAAATAAGATGGATACAAATAAAATTTTAAAATGAGCATTGTTCGTAAAATAAATAACTAACGTAAGAAAACTCAAATTTCAAGGTGGGTACAAAAAATTTCAAGGTGAACATAACCAGTAAAATAAGTAATAAATCAAAGAAAATTCGGATTTACGTGCCCACCCTGACCAAGTATGGCTCCGTCACTGGATGTATTGTATTTGGATTCTTGAACGTTGATCTTAATTAATACTTCATCTATCCCATTAAAAGCGTCTCATTTGATTTTTAAAATTGTCATATTCAAAATATCCTAATAAAAGGTCAACAAACAACGACATTTATATTTTCTTTTTTATTATTATATATCTTACTTTTTTTACACTTATAAAAAATTAGTCAAAATTATCAATCATTTTTAATAATAATTTTATTATTATTATTAGTCAAAATACTTCCTAAAATTACGTGTATATAAAGCCAAGTCTTTCGATTCTTGGATGTTGATATGGCATGATGTTGTCAACTTTTTATCCCTTCTTCAACTTGCTTTCAAGATCATCTCGTCGGCAAAACAGAAGGAGCCAACCGAGGGATTAGGAATGCGCTATAGGGTTAAAGTCGGGTTGATTTTTTTTATATAAATATTATATTTTTATTCTTCTTTTAATTTAATTACAATATATAATAGATAATTACATTATTATTTCAGGTCCGATCAAATCAGTTCAAAAATTATCATCTTAAATCTGATTTGATCTTATCTTATAAAAAATTGATCATATATCTATCGAGTATGGATCTCATGTCCATCTTTACCGTTGACTTTTACTTAAATCGGAGTTAGTGTCGGATATAAAATTTATTGTTATATTTAATTTTTATCTATTTAAAAGATATTTTGTATCATTATTAATATCGAGTTGATTGACTGAGTAATTCTAATAGGATATATAACATTACATAGTTGGGATTCAGATTATATGTGCTTTATAATTCTTTAGCTAATTTCATTTTTAGAGAGCCATTGCTCAAAGATTCAGATGTGGATCTCAAGATTTTAAGGATTATTTTAATAATATGCGATAGTTATAAGGTAAATATGTTCAAGAAAATTTAGACGATTATCAATGCATACATACTTTACAAACACAATTGTTCAAACCCAGAATATTAAAAGATAACGACATTCATTCTACTAGTAATATGGCTCGATAATGCATTAAGCAACGGAAATAATATTTTTGTAACATGCAATACAATACAAACTTGTTTATTGATTGTTTAAGTGAAACTAAGGTACAAAAGTAAGGTACGCATATAAAATAATACTTCATGATTTATTCGGGCATACCAAAAGTCCAAACTAAACACACCCAGAAAAAGACGTAAACATTGCTTGAAATAGAGTGGAAATGAGCTTAATAAGCACATTTGTAACCGGCAGGCAGTTCCTTTCCACATGAGTTGAGCAGCAAGGACAATGAAATGGGAACATTGAGGTTAGCCCCCAACACATTGGCCTTGATCGCCGTGCAGAGGCAAACGGCGGCATCGAGGTCGGCCAGCCCCGAAATGAGACCGCAGCATTTGGTCCTCGACGAGCTCCCGATGACAACGTGTACCAATCCGCCCAACAAATCAGCACACACACCCAGTTTGAGTGTGTCTTTGGGGCAAGTGGCCGGCCTTTTCGGTCCAGATGGCGGGACCTTGGGGGAAGGCTTGGGGATCTTGTGTGGCGGTGGTGGGCATGGCACGTAGGTCGAGCTGACCAATGTGAAGAACAACAGGTTCACGGCAACGAGAAGTGCTGCCGATGCAACAGTGGATTTTGCCATGTTTCGCAACAAAGAATTAGTGATATATTATGAGAGTGATGAAATGGAGAAGCAGGGCAAAGGGTTTTTATAGGCGAACTAAGGACTGGTTTTTCAATGGTTTTGAGAGAAAGTATCCCACGTGGGCACGCCGAGTTGTGGGTACAACCAGGCAAATCACAAGACATGCAGGGCAGGGTTTTAAAAAACGGTCCGCGACTGCGATTTCGGTCGCGATATAACGGTTTTGTCGCCGTCCGAGTTACCCGCGACGGCCGCAATAGCGTCCGCAACGGCCGTAATCACGATAAATCCGAAAAAAACCGAAAACGCGACCGCGATTTGAAACCCTGTTATGTAGGGATAAGCCTAACAAATCTGATTAAAAACTATGGATTTCTCTAAGTTGTCAATTATTAGAATAAATCATTATTTTAAAGTTAAAAGACGGAAATAAAAAAATATAAACACTTCTTGTTTTCTTCTATACTAGTTGATATGCCACTTGTAATATCATAATATGAACATTAAGACTCCATAGGTCGTCTAAGTTCGATCTATTTTGGTGTCGTGTATTCTATATAGGATTTAGAATTTAAGAATTTACAATTCAGATAATATTATCGAACAGTTACTCGTATATAAATCTTTAAATATATAAATACCAAAATGGGAAAAGAGAAATAGTTGTGGAACCATGGATGAATGGAAAGGTCAAGTGGACATAAGTGCATACATGTGAATGGTGATGAGGTAGTATTGTCTCTTAGCTTTCATGGTGAACTGGAAATAACCCAGAGCCATGGATGTGGATTTGCAGATGTTAGGGGTAGGGATTGACGTGGGATTTTATGTTAAGAGTCGAACTTGAACTTATAGAATTATATGGAATGGCTGATTTCTCAGCTAAAGAAGGCATGTCTAGAAGTGTCCTTTTTAAAGCTTGGTGGTAAGTTGTCTTTATTTAGTCGTTTTGCAGGGATGTCCGCATTCCTTTGCTTCCTTAATTTGCTGTGGCTTAAGAACTGTTGTTTGTACTGTTAGCTTTGCTGGTGTATTTCTTTTCTCAGTTTATGCAGGGCTAAGCTATTGCTTGCCTACCAGAGTGAATGTTGTGCGGTTTGGTCGTTATGTTTTATTGATGCTGTTGTAAGTGGATCGTTTTCGCCTAGTTAAGATGCTGTCTTCATTAATCGAAGTCGTAAGAAGATCTTGTGTTAACATTTTAATTATACTATAATCAAAACACATGAGAATGCTTCAGTGGGTTTGAATTATCGATTCTTCAGGCTAACAAACCCTAAACATTCCGATTCAGCTTAGCTACATTCGCACTTGATTCATGTATTGTGCTGAAATATAAAAGCCACGGCCATATATGTATATAACTTGCTTTGGACGATCTATTAATAAATGGATAAAGAAACAACAAGGAATATAGCAATTAATACGAGTCTTTTCATGTCCCTTAGAGATACGGCAGAAATCTCCAAGAAGGACAGCTGAAGGAAAGTATTAGACTTATTCGGCATCAACTCCCACTGGGGAGTTATAACAACATACGAAAACACTGATTTGATTAATTTTCCCACTGGGAAATTGAACCACTTATTTTACGCTAATTCTCAGAATCCGAACTCGATAATTCAGATTTCATATTAGAGTTAATTGCTGCTGTTCCATGCTTTTCCAAAATAGGATGATAATTGCAACTTACAGACCGAGACAAAATGGATTACAGATTCAAAATGGAATAATTAATCTGTACTTTGTCAAAACATCATGCTCTTCCATTATCTTCTAAAAATTTCGTTGAGATTTTATTCACATTAAACTTTGCACAAGACGTGGAATATGGAGCTCATGAGAAAGAGACATGACATGGAGACAGACCAGTTTGAGAAGCTTCCTTGTTAATAATTCTAAAATTACTGCTTACAAAATACAAACCCTTTTCTTGTCGGTCTATGGCATCTTGTAGGTGCTATGTCTTGAGTTCTTGGCGTGTTGTTAATGGAAGTATTCCTGCTGGACTGAACTGTAGGCGAGCTTAGAACATTAAGTCTTGTTTTCTTGTATACTAGTTGATATGCCACTTGTAAGATCACAATATGAACATTAAGACTCCATAGGTCGTGTAAGTTCGATCTATTTTGCTGTCGTGTATTCTATATAGGATTTAGATTTAGGATTTAAGAATTTACAGTTCAGATAATTTTAGAATTTTAGGGCCCCATCCACCCCACTTAGGTCGATCCCTGAATAGAGCACATGGCACCTTAATTATGGCTTCCATGAATTCATTTACCCACTGCTCCTCAAGATTTCATCAAGGCATTATTCCTCGACACTTTGTTTTGTTTAGTATATTCATTAATCATTAATTTTCTTCTTTTTTTTTCATGAAATTAATCATTAATTTTCTTTTGAGCTTTCTGCGGATTCCCCCACAACTGAAACCCTACTCACGGCCAAACATCCTTTAAATCCAGGTATAGGAAAAAATATTAGATTGTCCCGACTCACCACATCATTTGTGATCCAATTAATAATATTGTCCATATCATTTCTTTCTCAAGGTGAATCTTCACCTCTTTCCTACGTATAAGTAAGATGTGGATAATTATTTTAAAATTTGTGTCTCTCATTCGCTAACACAACGGATGACGTGATGAACTGGATATATCAAATAGTTTCTCAGATTGAACAAATCTTTTGTGATTGTTTCAAATAAATCATTTATCTTTATGTATAGGTTGGGATAAAAATAAAGTTTTGAGTATACTATTAAACTAAAAAAATTAAATTTATGTATTTCATTGAACCAAAAGATTTTAGACGTGAAATTAAATTTTAATTAAGAGATAGGTGATTCATAGGATTAAATGTTATTGAACCGAAAAATAGGTGTTTTTAATTCAGAGATAAAAGTAGAAATTTTATTGTTTGATTCATTTACTAAAATTTATCTTGGTTTTCAATAACCTCTAAAAAAAGTTATTTTTATAATTCAAAAAATTCTATAAATATATTTTGGTGGAAATTTTCGTTAATAATTTTAGAAGTGATTTAAACCGTAAAAGTAAGGTTATTTTTTTATTTTCAAGTGTTCAGAGAGTTTTGTATAAGATGAAAAAGATACGATTAAGTTTAAACTGATTAGTATTGTATATTATAAAAAAAGTAATTAGTCGAGTATCATATCTCAATCAACATGTTAAGGTCCAACTCATATGATTGTCAACTTTTTAACAAAAAAAATATGAATTTAGAACATAATGAGTAGTTGAGTGACCATTTTGTAACTTTTAATAGTCGAGGAACTCAATAAAACAACTCCTTATAGTAGAGGGATCATTTTGTATATTTTAATAATCAAGGGTCTCAATAAAACAAAATGTTATAGTCAGGGGTCTATTTGTGTACATTACCCAAAATAATAATTAATCTATACAACTAGAAGAATTCAATTATGACAATAATTCTAAGAATTATAACGTGTCTTATCGGATTATGACAACGTTAACTAATCAAAATTCGGTTACATCAAAGTTATGTTTTGTTTCTTGATATCGTTTAAGTAAGATTTCATGTTCGAGTTTTTCTGTATGAAAAAAATTCTCGTTGGAAGACTCACCCACCAAAACCAGGTATGCGACCGGGGTCAATTCAGATTAATCAAAACGAAGCCTTAGAACTAGAGGGTAACCAAAAAAAGTTATGTTTTGTTTTATAATATTAAATTAAATACAATTGCTTGGTTGAGTTGGACATGTCTACTCCGAAGAGTCAAGTCGTTGTCTTAATTAATTACAGTTGTAAGAAGATTTCGTGTTTACATTTTAATTATATTTTTCTCGGTAAAATTTGTTTTATTAAAGGTTTAAAGAAACAAAAACAAGACTTATGTATCTCGTTAAAAATCTCTCTACATTTAATTGGAGGAAAAGAATACAACACAACTAAATAACAGATACAACTCGACAAAAAAAGTAACAGAACGTCACCAATTAACAAAAGCCTATACGATATAAATAAAAATTCAGCACATTGCAATTACAACCCCGGCTTTTCCTTATGAAAAATCCCTTACCACCGTGCTTTAAAAGCTCACTCCTATATACCCTTGCGTTGGCTCGAAGACCCGTCGAACCAATGTGGCATATAGGCGCATAAACAAATTTTAATTATATTATAATCAAAACACATGCTCATCCCTTGTACGAATGAAGTAAACAAATTGCAACTATTCAGACCACGAGAATGGTTCATGGGGGTTTGAATTATATGTTATTAAGGCTAATACTAAACCCTAAGCTTTCCGGTTCAGCTTAGCTACATTCACACTGAATTGAGGTAAAGTTGATGAAGAGTTGTTGATTCATTTATAGCTAAAATATAAAATACGCGGCCGTATGTAAAACTAGCTTTAGAGATGTTATTAATAAATGCATAAAGGAATATAGTAATTAATGCAAGTCTTTTTCATGTCCCTTTGAGATACAGCAGAAATCTCCAAGGACACTTGAAGAAAAGTATTGGACTTATTCAACTCCCACTTGGAAATTATAACAACAATCGAAAACACTGATTTACTACAAATAAAGGAAACCACGACCAACATGATCAAGATATTGAAAACTTAGAATTTAGCATTGGAAGCCAGTGCTCCTTCCGCAAACGTTGAGAAGCAAGCTAAGGGAAACTGGGATATTAAGGTTGAGCCCCAACACGTTAGCCCTGAGTGCGGTGCATAGGCAAACGGCAGCTTCGAGGTCAACCAGGCCTTGGAGAAGGGAGCAGCATGGCTGCACCGGGGGTGAACCAACTACGACATTGACCAAGTTAAGCACATTGGCACAGACGCCTAATTTAAGAGCATCCCTAGGGCATCTGCCTCTTGCAGATGGAGTGGGGGTGGGGTTCGGATTTGGCCTCGGGTTAGGGTTAGGGTTGGTGGAAGGGCAGGAGTTGCAAGCATTGCCTAGGGAGAAGAATAGGATGTTGAGTGCCAGAAAAAGGGCCATGGAAGCTGATCTTTTTGAGGCCATTTGATCTTCTCAAAACCCTAGTTGGCTTAGAGCTAAAAGTACAAGTGTTTAGGATGTGGAGTTTTGAGTGAAGGGGGGAGGGGTTTTATATTGTTTTCAAGAGGCCTGGTGGGTTATATTTATAATGCTAGATTAATTGATCAAATTGAAGGATAATCAAATTGAGCTGGCTGTTGAAGTTTGGACCTTTGTGATTATAGCACATTGCCATGTTCGGATGTTCCCATTGCTCCATAATTCAGTTTTCATATTAGAGTTAATTGCTGATGTTCCATGCTTTTCCAAAATAGAATGATAATTGCAACTCACAGACCAAGACAAAATGGATTACAGATTCAAAATGGAATAACTAATCTGTATTTTGTCAAAACATCACGTTCTTCCATTATCTTCTAAGATTTTCTTTGAGATTTTATTCACATTAAACTTTACACAAGACGTGGAATATGGATCTCACGAGAAAGAGACATGACATGGAGACAGAGCAGTTTGAGAAGCTTCCTTGTTAATAATTCTAAAATTACTGCTTACAAAATACAAACCCTTTGCCTGTCGGTCTATGGCATCTTGTAGGTCCTAAGTCTTGAGTTCTTGGCGTGTTGTTAATGGAAGTATTCCAGCTGGACTGGACTGTAGTGTCACGGGCGAGCTTAGAACCTTGGTAAGATCAGTTTTTGTATGGTCTAGTTCGATCTTTTGAATATATATATAAAAAAAAGATTAATTTGTTCAAATATTTGATCTTAATTTCATCTGTTATTTTACGTCAAATTTCCTTGGCTGTAAGAATCGAAAACCAAATCTTTTTTTCTGTAGAGCACTAGCGAGTAGTCAGCAACAGCCCAATTTTCACGCGGACTAAACGAAGAATTTCGATTGCTTTGAAAATGAGTTGCCATAGAAGGCAGAGGGAATCTAAATCTTCGAGCAGCGGCACCAAAGTAAACGCCGATCGGTCGAAGAATTCTGGTTGCTTTGCAACACCGGAAATGTTGACTCCTCCGCCAAGTTGCACGTTGATAATTACAAAGCCTTGATTTAGACCATTAGCACGCATTACACCAGTCTTTTCACATTAAAATCCTGTTAATATTATTGTTAGGGTTGTAAACGAGAGGTGAGAATTTAATTCGTGTTATTAACAAATCAAAATAAACTACTTTATAATATACGGTTTTTATATTATCAACTTGGTTAATTTTTTATTTTTTTATATTAAATTACAACTAATATTAATATTTATATGTTGTTTTATTAAATGTAATATACGGTTTTTATGAACTTAAGTTCATTTTTGAGTTTGAGTCAGAGCTTTAATCAAGTTAAGTATGAGTTCAAGTTTTTTTCGTACTCGAGTTGAGTTTCAATTTTTAATTTTAAGTTTGAGTAGAGATTAACAATTTCAAGCTCGAGACTTTTCCAATCGAGCTTAATTTTAAACTTTTCGGATCAATTCAAATTTAGTAATATTCGAGCTTGACTCAGCTAGTTTATAACCCTAATTGTTGTTAACAATGAATTTTATCTTAACGTGGATTGATATTATTATTATTTTAATAATTTAAAAGTGATAAATTTTTAATGTATTTAAATATATAATGTTTTAAATTAAAATTTAAATATTAAATATATCTAAATATAAAACTCATTATAATTCAATGGTCTATGCCCACAATTTAGTCCTTGAACAGACAAAAGTCATGCTATCAACTTCTGAATTGAATACACACTTACAATAAATGTTTACCATTATGATCGTAAACTAAATACATAATTATAATAATTTTTTTAATTTATTAACACAATAAATTAGTCACTTGAGAATGAATAAGGATCAAATAAGGAAAAAGGTTAAAAATATAATCAAGAAATTCGAATAGAGATAGATACAAATATATTTGATTGCATCGGCAAACGAACCATAAAAGAGAATCAAAACTACTGAAAGATTACCGACAAACCATATATTAGATTCGAGTAACATTGAGAAAACTATCCACGAACGCAATCGCATATCCAAATTCAATCTAAAGATCCAAAGTAGTGAAGATCAACTGGATAACAAACAATTGTCATCTTAATCAATCAAGACATCGTCAAATTCAACCCTAAGAAAAAGATTAAACGAAAATAACAGGCAAACAACGGATAAAATAGACTAATAACTAGCTTTAGACATCTTATTATAAATGGATAAAGAAACAACAAGGAATATAATACAAGCCTTTTCATGTCCCTTAGAGATACAGCATAAATCTCTAAGAAAGACACTTGAAGGAAAGTATTAGACTTATTCAATAGTATCAATTCCCACTAGGATATTATAGCAACAGACGAAAACATTGATTTACTGAAAATAATGGGAACCATGACAAAGATGATCAAGATACTGAAACTGAGAATTTAGCATTGGAATCCAGTACTCCTTCCGCAAACGTTGAGAAGCAAGCTAAGGGAAACTGGGATATTAAGGTTGAGTCCCAACACGTTAGCCCTGAGTGCGGTGCATAGGCAAACGGCAGCTTCGAGGTCGGCCAGGCCTTGGAGAAGGGAGTAGCATGGCTGCACCGGGGGTGAACCAACTACCACATTGACCAAGTTAAGCACATTGGCACAGACACCTAATTTAAGAGCATCCCTGGGGCATCTGCCTCCTGCAGATGGAGTTGGGGTGGGGTTCGGGTTCGGCTTTGGCCTCGGGTTAGGGTTAGGATTGGTGGAAGGGCAGGAGTTGTAACCCCTAGACCCGGCCTATGCGTTTCGACTAAGTCTAGTGGATCACATACATGATTCTTAAAGACATTTTCTGAAACCGTTATTCAATCAATGTAAAATCACATTATAAATATATTGAAATAAATTATACTATCAAAACCCAACTTGTAAATATAATACCAATAAGTAATAAATTAATTTAAAACAGGTCTTCAAAATCAAAATCATGATAAACCAAACAGTAATAGCAAAAGTGTCATCATCATAAAATACAATACTTTAAAATAAGGTCTATGTCACCAAAATAAAGTCAACTTGCAAGATAAAACATTACAATCAGATGTACTTCAAGAGATGTGTTGATCCTCCAAGTGCTCGAACCGATATATCTAACCAACAGTATCTGAAAGGGGAAAAAACATTTTTGAAAGGTGAGCTAGGCTCAGTGTGTCCCAATATTACCTTAAAATCACAATAGGTACATTTAACAAATCATAGTCCAGTAAATCTCATAAATTCATAAAAGAGTTTAACTTTTAAAAATCATAGTTTAAACTCTTTTCTTGTACACCATCAGTAATTTCCAAAACTATTTTCCATATAGCTTACACTAAGCACACAGCAAAAAGAAAGCCAACCTAAGGATAAGCTTTATAGCTTGTATCCTTAAGCCCGTAAGTCCAAGTCCATATAGCTTACCCTAAGCACACAGCAAGGGAAGCCAACCTAATGTATCTTGGGTCCCCAAGAGTCACATTAGGCCCATTCTGTTTATTAGCTTGATCAGAGTTATACTATTGTAATTCAATCCAAAAGTTCAATTGCACCGTGACACAAATTCCATAAATCATCACATTAAATTGGTGCATCAATAAAACAGTAACCAAAGAACTCAGTGTACCTCATATTAAAACCAATAAAATAGTTCAGTAATAATTAGGGAACACACCTCGATAATAGGTTCAAATAGTAGATCTACTGATTGCTGGTTTCACCACGCTCTGCTACAGTTTTCGAACGTAATTTATAATAACACTATATTACTAATGGGTAATATAAATAAATCTTTAAAATCATAAAATTTATGGGTCTTACGGGTGAATACTAGCATACATTGTTTAACTGATCTAGAAGAGTTGGGTCGAGCTGTCGAACGATCCGGAGAGTCTCTTGTACCTTCAAACAATAATAATTTATCAGCCCCAAAATCCTACTTAATTGTTCAAAGCTAAAATTCTTAAGTATATAAGCATTTTCAGGGTTTGACTATCAATTTGGAGGATTTCGGGTTTGAATTTGGCCAAACGGATTGCGGAATCGGAATCAGAACGTCGAAAACATAAAGTATGACTTTTCGAAAATTTAAATTCTTGGTCAAATTCAAAGTCAACTACTTTGACCGTCGATTTAGAGGCCTTCGGGTTCGAATTTGACGAAACGGACTTCAGAAACAGATTCGGGACGTCGAAAAATATCAGAATAGGTATACTCGGAAAAGATTAACGGTCGTTTAATGGTCTGTCAAAGCCATTTTAAGTTTTGGTCAAAGGAGGTCAACGGTCACGATCAATGGTCAGGTAGGGTCAACGGTCGGGTCGGGTCAGATCGGGAAAACCGGTTTGAACCGATCGAAATCGGTCAAACCGGTCAAAACCGGTTCAAAACCGGTCAAACCGGTTTTCAGCCACTCACTCTCCCTGCGGCGGCGCGTATGGCGTGTGAGGCCTCTTCCGGGGGTCTAAAAATTACGGAAAAATTTCTAAAAATTATTTTGAGCGATTTCAAGATACTTACAAAGATCAGTTCAAATTTTTGAACGGCGGAGAGCTCGATTTCAACTCGGCCGAATCTTTGACTGCTCGATTTCAACGGCGGAGACCAAGGTTGACACCGGCGGACTCGAAACGGCACAAGGAACACGATGGTGCGGGAGGTGTCGAAAACGGAGCAACGATCGGCGGTGAATTTAAGATTTTCCCAGCGATAGAGCTAACAAAAACGTCGAGACTTTGATTGTAAATTCTCAACGTTTGGCAGCGTTTCGCTTCAATTAAATTGAAGGATTTGTTCCTGACTCGATAACGAACACGATGGTGATTTCAAAACGACGATCGGAATTCGGACGGCGTCGGGATCTAAGTCGGAAACCGGCGTAGGGGGAAGGGAATTTGGGAGTGTGGTTTCTGTTTTTGAAACAGAAACCACACGTATATATCATATAACCCCAAACTTACCTAACTTTTTTGGGTAAATTCAGGGCTTAGTCCCTGAATTTTCTTTAACTCTAAAATAAGCTCCAAGTTTTAAAATCTTTCAATTTAGTCCCCACAATTTACCAATTTTCACAATTAAAACCT